TTCTCCATATTCAACTGCAGAATGATAAAAAAGGAAAGAAAAGGCACTTCAGTCTATATTGCCTGAATGGTCCAGGGCTGGTAAGCAGAGCTTAGATATTCCTATATTGGATTCCCTTTTAAATTTAACTCCAGGTTGCTTCAAAGGCTGAGTGTGTTGCAGAGCTCCTGTGGAATTCTCTCCTCATTTGCAAACAGTGCATCACCTTGTTTGTGCTCTGAGAGCTCCCAGGACGTGCTGCTGCAGGGATGTGCTGAGACAGAATGAAAATCAGCCAACACTTCCCTCTTGCCTGCCTGCAGGGTGATACATTCTGGATGTGACTTGATTTCCAGCCTGAAAGCCTGACCAAAGCCCCCAGCTGGGGCTGTGTGTGTTCCCAAAACCTTCCCAGCACTGGTTCACTTGTACACAACCCACCCTGGTCCTGTGCATTGATGGGCTGAATTTCCTTCCTCTCTTCAACTACCCAGCAGAGTCACCTACCACTGGGATTATTTCAGCTCTTACTGAATCATCCTATCTGCACACTGAAGAGGAGTCAAGGATTTCCTGTTCACTGCCACTGTGCATTATGCCACTGAAATTATACCTCTTCTCAACATACTTGAGAAGAAATTACTGGGGACAAATAAAGAACAAAGGATCTGTCCCAAGAAGCCACACTAAAAGCTCACGTTGCCAAAATGGACGGTGTGGCTACAGAGCCAGAATTCACCACTGTTTGCTAAACAATCCAAGTCCCTTCCCACCCTCAGTGCTGAATTGTCACAGAACCCACATTAGGACATCCAAACACTGATGATGAACAAGACAGAAAAGGGGCACTTGGACAACAGCAGCTCCTACTGACAGAGGAACATCCTTCCCACAAGGGCCATGATGCCAAACACACTCAGCTGAAGAGACACAGGATACAGCCCAGGTTTGATTAAAAAAAAGAAAAAATAAAAACAAGAATGGCTTTTAAGATTCTAACCATCAGTAGCCCAAAAGTCACGTGTTTCCCTTCCCACTTCTGTGGAAGTGCCATGTTCCCATGGTATCTCCTTTGCTGAACACCCAGCCCTGGGATCAGCACAGTTTCTTGCCTGGCATCAAGCACATTTGCCAGGAAGCCTTGCCCAGTCAGCTCCTGGAGCTGTCCCATGTGTCCCTGTGCCTCAATTCCAGCTCTGATCCATGGCCAGAGCTGCCACCTGCAAAGCTCTCCAGGCTCCAGCCAAAGGCTGCTGTCAGTTCTTTGCAGCACCTTAAATGTACTTGTGAAGTCTCCCTGAGCACACAGAGATGACTCGTGTTCCTCCTGCTGATGAGCTCTCAGATGATCTGATTAGAAGGTGTTTGATACTGGGCTGCACTGCTGCTGGGAGCAAAGATACTCCTCCAGCTCTGCTCTTCCTGCTTTTTCCAGACAATCCCATTGGTTTTCCCTTGGTGTGTCTCTGTGGCCTTTTGTCATGAGATAGGAAAAAATGGGACAATTTCTGCTCCAGACACCCCAGGTTTTTACAGAACTGGAATGCCCTGAAAACATTTCTCATTCCAGAGCAAAGCAGTGCCCCCTGCCCATGTGTGCTGCTCTGAGTGCCCCTGCCCTGGGCAGCACATCCAAGGGGACACTCCCTGTCTGCCAAGGCTCCCAACAGCAGGGCTTTCATGCACCTTTTTAATGCCACATCTTTAATACTCTGTGGAAGATATTTCTGAGAATATGCTTCCAAGGAGAAACTCAATGTGTTCTTGTTTGTTCCACAGCAATAAAGAAATGGGGGGGAAGCACATTGTCACAATGTAGGCAGATCCTGAATTTCACCTCATTATAACACAAATCCAGCCAGGTCAAACACATCAGGAAACAAGAGACGAAGGAACTGAAGTAGGTTTTTGTCTTTATGTGGCACCACATAACAGAAATGGTCAAAGGCCTAAATGTACCAGATGAATCTTGAATGATTGCATTTAAAATATTCAGAAGAATCACAATCATCTCTGTTATGCTGCAGGATGTGCAACATGGTCTTTTTTGTTTATAAGAATATGAACTATTCTTCAAACTTCCTTGTACTTCTTTTTGCCTTTGAGCTCCCACTAGTCTTATAGTTGATTAGCTAAGACATTCCTTTCAACAGTTACAATTCCAGAGAGGCAGAAAACAGCAGAGAAATCAAATTATTCTAGAGCATCATCAGAAACTCAGCACTGCAAACTGGTGGCAGAGGTGGGGAGCAGAAAGGAGAGGTATTTACTGAGGCAAGTCAGTATTTGACTGAAGAGGAAAACACTCTCTGTTTGCAAGCTGGGAAACCAAAAAATGAATACATTGGAAAATTGATTTCCCTCTGGTATTATAAACCTACTGTTCAGTGTGTTGGGAAACAACAAAAGAAACAAAACAAATAGCTCAGATGACACCCCCCTGGAAATAATGGCCCACAGGTTTAGAGGCATTGTAACAAAACTGAACATTTAACAAGCCTCTGTCTTTAAAGGAGAGCAAAGCAAAAACTGACCTCAGACTGTAACTGGCCAGACATGAAAAACCAGGATTTCAGTTCTCAAAATTGACACTCTTTGAACTAACAGGGAATGGTCCTCTCTTACACTTTCAGCATCTAAGATCACTGAGACTACCCTGGACTGAAAGAGGGAAAACCCTGTCTCTTGTATCTTAAGAGATGACACCACCTTCTCTAGGTCATGTTTTGTATTTTATATCCAATCCTTTTCAACCAGAATATGTAATTCACAAATTAATCTAGAGTTACGATAAAATAAATTAACAAAAATTTAGTACTGGCCACAAATTCAGTGAACACAATGACAAGTGAAAACAAAAAGTAGCCCAGTGTAAGAAGGCACCAAACTCTGGCATCAGGGAGGGGAGGAGGGGAGGAATGGAAGAAAGAAGGGGAAGGAAGCAGAGAAAGAATGGGAGGACATCAGAGACATGAACATGTATGGAAATGGGCTAAAAAGGTATCATGACTTCCCTCAAATGACTTGGCTAGACAATAACTCCTTTTTTTAAACAAAGCATATCTAACCCAGCTTCATTAAAACATTTGATATTGGACTACCTAAGAACAGACAATTAGTAAAGGTGTATAAAAGGTGTGTAGGGAATTGTACTGCATCCAGCACCCTGAGTTAAACCCAGCTGACCCCTGTGACCCTGCAACAGAGCCCAGAGACCCACAAGAGACCCCTGCTCAGAGCCCCCTGACTGCTCTGGGAAACCCAACTGCTCCCCTTTCTGTCACACAATGAGCACTGTGGCTTCACACCAAGCTGGAAAACAATTCTGAGAGCTCCATACCTTGTTGGTTAGGATTGCTTCTTGAAAGATAACTGATCTGGCTTCAAACTGATCTGGCTACTCCAAATCAGATGAAAGGAAAATTTCAACCTACAAGTCCCACGTTCTAAGTCTGAACCAGAACAAGTGCTCTCATTGAAAAGCAGAGACAATTTCATTTTCAGTTTTGCATAAGGACTGACCCAGCAGATATTTCCTGGGAATATTTCCCAGGGTGGGTCCTGGAAGAGTGAGAGGCAGGGGATATCTAGTTTGTGAATCCCACAAAGATTCAGTCATCTCAGCAATGCAGGGAGATGGCAACACCTTGTTCACCATTTCAGCAGTGCTGGAAAGAGAGAGAAAGGATGTCCTCTGACTCTTCATCCTCCTACCTTACACACTTAACTGGAAAAGAGAAAAACTCCAGGTCCTTGCTACAACAATTAAAGGACACTGTCACAGCAAAAACATTCTCAATAAAAATCTCTGTAAACCTGAATACCATTATGCCAGTAGTTTCCTTGCACATTATAATCAGCCTAACAGACTGGTAATGTAGTAGTTGGCTGCAGGTATGAAATTCTGAATCAATTATCAATGGAAATTCTATAATGAACTACAAAGACCCCCTAAACAACTAAGATTTGATCTAATCTCAAAAGAGCAAAGTCCATCATCCCATTTGCTGTTGTGAATGTCACCACACACAAGGGCTGAGCTTTACTGACAGTCTCACTTCCTTCACTTTATGGGTGTAAAGTATTTCACACAACAGTGTCACAAGGGTTTTAACTTACCTGGAAATTACAGTGAATTGCAAAGAATGGAACCCGGACAAGAATGTAAGGCATGTTCTTAAATGCTCTCTGAACAGGAGAAAGAAGTTCAGCTGTACCAAGTTCTTACCCACTGCAGCACAAATTATTATTATTTTGTACTTCAGTGCACACAGAAAACCCACATAATAGTTCATAACACACAATTTACTTTAAAAATACACATACTTGCCTACTGTATCTTAGAGTGTGACATTAATCTTCAGAGTGCTGATAATGATCTTAGAGTGTCAAGAAACACACTTGCAATACTGTCTTTATAAAAGGGATCATGAATTGGGTTTGCTCTGATAGATTTCCCTAAAGGATTTTTGGAGAAAAGAGAGGTTTTAATTCACAAATTTTATCTACACAGAAAGCTCAATAAAATGCCAGTCATTAAGTCGGTGTATATAAACAAACTGCCTTACATGTGTTCAAAGTTTAACTACAGCACAGTGGTTAGGGAAAAAAACCCCCACAAACCACCTATTTCAAGGCCAGTTGTAACCTCCTGCCTTCATTTATAAATGGAAACAAGCTGCCACACAGTTCAGCAGTAAAGGAGGATAAAGAACTGATAATAATCCTTGTGCTCCTCACATGAACTCCAACAAGGCACTTGAATGAGACTTTTAAAGCTGTAAATTGTCCATCAAAACACAGAATAACTTTTGCTAATCCCGGTGCCACAAATTACTAATCCATCTGGAAAGCTATTTTTTTCTCATGTGTTTACAAGGATCTAAATGTCATCAGACAGGAAGACAACTGGGTTAGTAGCATGTTAAAAACCCCCAACAAAAGCTCACGAACCCAACCCGACAGAAATAAAGCCTGCGAAGCAGCGGCCCCGCCTAAGGAGGATTTGCAGAAGTACTTACAGCTCTCAATCTCCAGCGTGCAGTTCTGCTCATCCAGGGGGTATCTGCGCAGGTCCATCATGCAGGCAGCTGTCGTGGTGATTCTGGGGGGGAACACAAGGGCCTGTTAACGTGTCCTGCTCCAGTCTGCCCTTGATCCCCCTCACTGACAGCACAAACTGTGCTTCTCCACAACTGACCTCATGCCTGGCTCTGCTGGAACACCCCACTGCTGCTCACCTGGAACCAGGGCTGTGCCAGTGGGGTCAGGCCAGGCTGGGCACAGAGCTGGCCCTGGCACGAGGCTCTGCTGTGAGCCCAGCACAGCCTGGCCAGAGCAGGACAGAAAGGAGAGCACTGCACAGCCCAATTTACAGGCTGGCTCTGAGCTGAAGGCTGACCAAATGAATTAGCTCCAACCAGAAATTCCCAAATGAGGAGGGCACACCCCCCCAAAATGGGACCCAAGCTGGAGTGGATGAAGTGTCCATAGCAAACACCCCAAGAAGTGACAGGATCAGCAGCTGTGTCTTTGTCAGGTCTACATGACTTTGTGAGGTGGACATGAGACTGAGGGACTCAGCTGCCTTCTCAAAATCCTGTCCCCCCACATGAGGGTTACTGGTCTTTCATAGTAAGTATTTAGAATATTCAATAACTGATTAAAAAACTTCTTGTACATTCTTTGTTCTCACAAAACAACTTCAGAGAACTCTTTCATCCCAGAAGTGTTAGTAGTTCTTATTTTTTAGTGCTATGGAGGGACAGTTTTTCAAAATCCTACACATTTTGATTTTCTGACAAGTTCAAGTGGGATTTGAAATTCAAAATAGCAACTTAAACAGTTCTGACATCACTAGTGAAGAAAAAACAGCACTGGAGGACAGGAGAGCAATGCCAATGACATGTGGAGATGGACAGGATCCAACTCCCTCTTGGAGCTGCAGAGGCTCTGCAGCTGTGGAGAATAAGCAGAACAGAAACTTCTCTGTGCCCTGGAAGGCAGCAGCCCTGCCCTGTAATTACAGGATTACAGACACTGCAGAAATGCTGAGCAAGAAGGTGACAACTTCAGAGGGCTCTTCCTGAGGGACTGTGAGAACCTTCCAACACTCCTTTTGCTCCAGCCCTGACAGATCAGAGGCCTGTGGAGTCAGAGACTGAGCTGAAGCCCAGGAAAATAAACAGACTGATTCTTTCTTTCTTTCTTTAAATATTTGCAGGTACATCCTGCTGAAAGCAGCCTGAGGTTCTGCCTCAGCTTTGGGTACCTGAGGGCAGAGACTCCCCACGAGCAACACCAGGAGCAACCCAAAGAGCTCCCAAGATAACCACAGACTGGATCTCCTTATCAAGACTTTATAAGAATCCTCTGCTCACACTGACTGGGAGTCAGAACTCTCTGCATTATTCACTGAAATCATGTACTGCAGCTCAACCCACTGTTCACCTCTGCTTCTTGGAAAAAGTCCTTCTGCAGACAGCTGGAAACCATCTGCGACAGCAGCAGAACCAGCTGCAAATACAGGGAAATTCTGGGAACAAAACTTCAGTGTGATAAGTCTCTCTCCTGGGCAATACTGCATTTAGACACATGTCAAGGTTGTTAGACATACCAACAAATCTACTTTTAAATTAAAATAGATTTCTTGCTAATTAGAGAGTTCCCAGAATTTTTCCTCCTCCTGCTTATTCACAGAAAAACTTCCCTTGTGTGATCATAGTTTGAGAGTTAGTGATAACAAATGATAAAAAAAAATGACATTTCTAGAAGTTCAACATCAAGTCTAAACATTCAGCTATTGACTACTATAATCTTTCAACTGTAAACAGCATAGAAAGTTTCTCAAAGTAGCTTTACAGGAAAAGAAGAACAGTTTTATTGGGGCTGATGTCTCTATTTGAGATGAAATGATATGCACATGCTACCCAGAATCTGTAACATGCTCTCTCCTACCACCACTTCTCAACATTTCTGGAGTATTCCAACCCAAGTGCCAGGAGCTCATTTTCCTGACTCCTCAGGAGCTCGCTATCTAATGACAGGCAGCTATCTCCCCTTGTCTCTGTGCTGTGCAATCCTTGACCAGCCAGGGGCTCTCTGCAAGCACTCAGTGCATTTGTTAAAGCCAGAAGGTACAGCCAGAGCACAAGGTAAGACTGTGAAGGATGTAATGCTAAAGCATTTGCCAGTTGTAACACAAGAAAGGAAAAGCCAGTAGCTGCTAAACCCCAGTGAGTCCCCCAGGAACTGCAGCCTCAGTGAGCTGTGCTGGTGCTGGTACTGCTGGTAAAAGCAGCACAGCACATTTTGAAGAGGAAACTAAAACCCACGTGCCTCTGATCTTCCTGGGGAAGAAGCTCTGCATTTCCCTGCTGCTGGACAGCCTGTTTTGCCATGTGCATCCCCACAGGGAAGAGTCATGGAAAAATGGAGAATTTGGCTATTATTTCACGGGAAAAGAATTCTGACTCAAAAGAACCACAATTTTCTGCACATTTCCATGCAATGTGCCCAATTTCCTGCTGTACTGCCATATAAGTACCTTTCTTTAAGTGAGATAGCATTTCTTACTATCCTGTCCCTGTGTCTAAAACTCAGTCATAACATCATGTTCATAATTTAAACCCCTGCAAAAAGCACACATCACTCTGCAGTAAAATCTTCTGCTACAATAAATTCTGCTTTAGACTGAATTTATTCAAAACCTTTCTCTGAAGTAATATGTTCTCCTCTGGAAAATAACACCCACATAACATGGCAGAAGAGCTCAGAGGAGCACTTCACAATTTTAATATTTTATTGCTGTGAAATGTATCCTTGTCTTTCAGCACTCACTTCACTTCTCCCTTTCTATAGAAATAAATAAAAGGCAGAACGCTAAAACACTGCAGGACTTACAGAAAATGGAACCATATGAGCATGATGAGTAGTATGAAACAAGCATCCTTGGTATGAAGACCTAGTACATCTCCACTTACACAGAGTTCACAGTCCTTTTGCTTTATTAACCATCACTGGAAACGCAAAAGTTTTATTTTCAAACATTTTGCAAAACACATTTCTTATTCTAGTTGTGAAAACTGCATGTCTACTTTACTTAGATAATATCAGCATTGAAATAAAAAGTTAATTATTTCCCCTTCTTTCTCTTAACATTTTATAATGTTACCACCCAGATCGTGTTGCATAAAATAAATCATATATAGAAAACATCTTTAATTCAGTTGTTCTGATATTACATCACATTAAATACAGACTCTTTCTAACTATCGAAGAGAGCTAGAACTTTCTAAGGAGACACATAAATTTGGTGGCTTTTTAATCAATTCTCAGTGCCAAAAATAACCAGTGCTGAGTTCTAATGAGCACCTGGACTGTAAACATACCCTACATGAACAGTTTTTATTCCAGGATCATAAAGATACAATGCTTAATTAATTAAGTGAAAAGCCAGGGGAAAAAATGAATCTCTTCTCCAAAGAATACACAGTGCTTCAGTGCACAGACTGTGCAGGTGGTACTGCCTCCGAAAACACAGAAACCCAGAAGTGCAAATCATCCCAGGTAAAACAGGATGAACTTTTACAGCCTTAACAGAGCCACAGCTCCAGCAGCCCCCAGCCCACAGTGCACCCCTGGCTCTGCAGGACAGGCTCCTTTGCCCCCAGGTCTGTCTGATGTTCCATCAGGTCTCAGAGGGCAGTGACCCCCCAAACCCTGCAGTGCTCGACCCCAGCACAGTCAGACACTCTTCCTGGGGAGCCCCTTCCAGGGGGTCAGTGCTGACACAGCCTGAGCTCCTGCACCTCCCTCAGTCCCTGGGGAGCCCCTTCCAGGGGGTCAGTGCTGACACAGCCTGAGCTCCTGCACCTCCCTCAGTCCGGGAGGAGCCCCAGAGAGCTCCCACAGAGACTGCAGTCCCTGCTCCAGGATGTGCCTCACCTGCACTTTCTGTGCATTTGATTTCTGCCAAGTCCTGCCCTCTCAGAAAATGCCCCCCCGGAATGTCATCAGTGACCTGCCTATTCCGGGAAACGGAGTGCAAAGTATTTTCACTGCTCTGGAGAAAGGAAGTTCTACTTGAGCTAAAAATTAATGTGGAAGTCAAAACAATCTTCAGTAAAAAAGGCACATTCAGTTTTATGATTGCAGCTTATTTAGTAATTCTTACAGAAGTAGTAAGATTAGAGCCCAAAGCTCCCTTTCCTCTCTGGCTTTTGTGAGTCAGACAGCTCATTTCCCAGAGGAAAATGTCAATAGAAATAATAAATTTAAGTGGATTCTTCGTAAGCAGAATCACTCTCAGATCCAAAAAGGTGGAAAAAGTCAGTAAAAGACCCTCTAGCACAGACCTGAAATTATTACATTTCTTTCAAGAACCTTTACAGCAAAGCAGTAACCCATAAAATTCTAATCCTTGCAAAACTCTGGGACTAAAGTAAAATGAACTCTCCCTGTCCTAAAGTAAGAGTCACACTTCAAAAGCAATCAAATGGGGAGACAGCATGAAGGCAACCTGTGCAAAGCACAGTACAATAACAGACACAGGTTATTGCTTAATAATTGAATTCTTATTCGACACTTATCTGCACAGCCTGGCATGCAAGGAGAGTTGGGCTGCCCCTGTGCAGGATTTCAATTAGACCACTTACTCTCTATGCCTTTTTTCCCATTAGACCATCTACTAAAACCCTTTGTAATTCTAGCAAAAGAAAAAAAAAGCTCACAAACATGTAACCTCTTTTCTCTTCACTCTCTCTAACAGAACTTCACCAGGCTGTGAACGAAGTATTTACTCAGCTTCTCTTAATTTCTTCTTCTACTTTCTGTCCATAGACAACCTGACCTTCCTCAGAATGCCTCAGTAATGGTTTCAGCAGATGTCAAAGTGGGTGGTACAAACACCCCGGGGTGTCCTCACCATGAGGAGGATGAGGAGGGGAACATCCTCCTCCAGGAGATGAGCAGCTCCATCCCCGTGTGCTGACACTGGTGCCCTGGAGCTCCTGCCTTTGGCCAGGCTGTGCCCAGTGCCCATCTCTGACCCTTCCAGAGGGCACTGCACTGGGCACCTCACCAGGAGCAAATCTGGGACGAACT